CTTGTACCAGCAGGAGGGAGTGGTGCTGTGCTCTGACTGGAGCTGGCAGACTTACAGGGAACATCTGTCCAGGGGTGCTCTGCACTGTGTGGATGACTGTTTGCGCCTGGAAGAAAGAAATGGGGTTTTTAACCTGCTCTCACCAGCGTGAACACCGCCATCGGCCACCAGAGGGCACCACTTAACACACACCCTCCAGCAGCTGCCAGTGGGCAACCCTCTCAGTAGCCCAGACCAGACTCTGAAAATTGCAGGGTAGAGGTGTTTCTCCTCTTCAGGGGTAAGGTAGGGGCAAAAGTTCCCTCTGGAGAGGAATGTGGCTTCATTTGTGGCCTTTGGCCCATCTTCCTTCTCAGGGGAATTTCTGTAGCATAGTTTCACTTTGCAGGAGGAAGTAAACTGCAGGCAGTTGTGTCCACAGAATGGCAGGGGCTTGGACAATTCAGCTTGTTTCCGAATCCATCAGCCCAGCCAACCACCCCTACTCCCCCAAACCCTCCACCCCCACCACCATCAGGAGGGCGGCCCAGAGGTCGGGCCTCAGCTGGGCCAGTCGCCCTGTGGCAGAGGCCTGATGCCTGGCCCTGCCCCCTCCTCTAACCCACAGGAAGAACCACAGTGAAGAGTTTCCAAAGAGAGTGCAAGGGACTTACAATGGGAGCCGCCGTGGCCTGCCAGTAACTTGGAGGCTGAAGGGGATGAAAAATAAAAATGCTGGTTAATATTGGTGCCACTTGACGGGGAGATGACAGCCGAAACGGTGGTAAGAAATACCACCCAGACTCACGCTTGCTTCCTTCCTGCTCCCAAGCAAGCCTCCCTGAGCCCGTGGTGCCCAGATGCTCACCCACCATCCCAGGTAACTATGGGTAAGAACAGGGAGGGGGCGGGTGGAGGAGAGGGAACATCCCGCAGGCTCCTCTAGAGAGCGAGAAGGATGAGTCTGACATAGAACATACAGCTCACCTCAGCTCCCAGAGGCAAAACCATTACTTGCCGTGTGCTATTTCACCAGGAGGGTGAACACTAGTATTTGGTGAGGCCTACTGTGTGCCGAGCTCTGGCTTTAGTGCTTTATGAGGGAGGCATCCTTAGCTTCAGTTTTGCTCAGTGAGAGCACAGGCTCAGAGAGGTTAAGCACCTTGCCCAAGCCTGTCCACGTAGCAAGCAATCAAATACAAAGTGGTACCCCATTCTGTCTGGTTGTATCAGCATACCCTGTCCACCCAAGGCCAGGGCCAAAGTCAGGCTGCCCTGCAAAGGCTCCCTGGAGCTCTTCCATCCTCAAGTCAGTGTGGCAGGTGGCAGGGGCCCACCATGCACTGTGATGGGCCACAGGAAGCTGGGTAGGGAGACGCCCTTGGCCTTGCCCCCACTGTTCAAGTGGCCAAAGAAGGGCCAGGCTCTGCTCCTTTTCCTGCCCGAGGCCCCTCCGCACCCATCAGACTGGTCTCTATGCTCTGACTGGTCTCCTGTTCTACTGACTGTGCAAAACCACATCCCTCATTCATTGACCCAGTCCCT